AGCTGTATTGAGGCAGCACTGGGTGTTGAAATTTTGCACCTCCTAACAATTTTGTGCCTGGGGCAACCACCCCTGTGCCCCCACATGCTACGCCACTGCTGTTGCCCTAGTCACAATTCAAATTAAAGCAACAGGGGGCTAGCTTGGGCACTGCCCAAAGATGTGCAGTTTCTGAGGAAACCTCTATACACACTGTGCTTATAGCTATTGCGTGACTCTTCTTTTTTTATCCTTATTTTGAACATTTATACTGCCTGGGATAATGAAATAGGTAAGGCATGTTTAATCATCATGCTATAGATCCTGCAATGTAAGTCCTGGGCAAATGGAACAGAGAGTGTCTCTGTATAGAGTGTGTGTGTCTTTCTCGCTCTCAGGACTATGTTCTTTAATGCTCCCCATAGGTCACAGAAGAAGAAATTATACATATCACATGCACAGCATAGATTATGCTCAAGAGTGATTTAAACAAGGGAGGGGGGAGAGAAATCCAGGATTTTTTTAAGAGCAGGAGCAATGACATTCTCTGCCAGAGGGTAACTGATGGATTCTCCTTGCTCTGACAAGTGAGTTAGGTGATAACAGGACTTTCAAGTTTTACCGTTGTTTGTGACAGATTAGCACAGAGGAACTCATATTCTATTCCTGCCAGCTGATCCTGATAAACTGGGCATTACACTATGTATTGCTGTGGAGAGTGAGAGCGAGAGAACAAGAGAGATTGGGGGGAGAGATGGATAGATCAATGTATCTCCTTGCATACTGGACTCCCCTTTGTGGCATGGCTATAGGTACTGTCATGGTGAACTCCTGCACTTCAGAATTTACCAGCACACCACTGATGGTCAGACGTCAGCCTTTCAGAATCAACTTGCAGGGGTAAGTGCTTCATTAACTAACACCTGAGATCCACCAACCAAAGACAGGTGTGAAATAGTGGCAGAGCTGCTGGGACCAGATGCAAAATGAGGGCATGGGTGGAGGGGGCAAAGCCAGTTACCAAACTGTACCCCAAGAGCAGGTTATACACTGGAATGACCCGCATATAAATGTACAAATGTATCTCTGAGTTATTGCCCAATTTAGCTGTTGCTTTTATTAAACAGTAGGGACCCAGACGCAGAGGGAGGGGACACGGGTGATGCTGTGGTCTAAACCACTGAGCCTCTTGGACTTGCCGATCAGACAGTCGGTGGTTTGAATCCCCGCGACGGGGTGAGCTCCCGTCGCTTGGTCCCTGCTCCTGCCAACCTAGCAGTTCGAAAGCACCTCAAAGTGCAAGTAGATAAATAGGTACAGCTCCGGCGGGAAGGTAAACGGTGTTTCCGTGCGCTGCTCTGGTTCGCCAGAAGTGGCTTAGTCATGCTGGCCACATGACCCGGAAAAATTGTCTGTGGACAAATGCCAGCTCCCTCGACCTGTAAAGCGAGATGAGCACTGCAACCCCAGAGTCGTCTGAGACTGGACTTAACTGTCAGGGGTCCTTTTCCTTTACCTTTAGGGAGCCAGAAACCCTTGTTAATCTATTGAAAATCATACTAATCTGGGGTTTATCCGCACATATTTTGCCCTGCTTTTTCCAGTCAGAAGTCTGCCCTTTAATGCTCTGTGTACAAGTGAGTCCCATCCCCCGCCTGAGCTTTCCCCACAAAAACCCGCTCTTTAAAGCTGAAACAGAGCAAATGTCAGTTCAAGTTTTCCATGGATTGACATTTGCTCTGACTGAGCTTCAAAGAGTAGGTTCCATAACAAAAAGAAGAAGAAGAAGAGTTTGGATTTGATATCCCGCCTTTCACTCCCTTTAAGGAGTCTCAAAGCGGCTAACATTCTCCTTTCCCTTCCTCCCCCACAACAAACACTCTGTGAGGTGAGTGAGACTGAGAGACTTCAAAGAAGTGTGACTGGCCCAAGGTCACCCAGCAGCTGCATGTGGAGGAGCGGAGACGCGAACCCGGTTCCCCAGATTACAAGACTACCGCTCTTAACCACTACACCATACTGGCTCTCAAAAAAGGGGTGCTCAGACAAAAAGCTTTAAATTGTCTGGAAAGAACAGAGGAAAGTATGGGTAAGTATGGGTAAACTCCACCCTGATTTAAAAACATATGTTGGGGGAAGGCATCCTATACTGTGGTTAGATTAGTCTCACACTGCTTTTCGCATTGCACTAGATTTAAGCAAGTTGTCAGGATTTGGAATTAACATCTCTGCAGGAAACCCCACAACTTTTCCGTTACCTGAAATATATATGAAGAAGACACTGATTCGCAGTATTAAAAAGCCACACATTTGTAGAACAAGAGAAGATTAAAGGCAAGTATAATCATGCCTCTTAACTACAGGACCCTGCTGTTGTTACAATGTAGTAATTTGAAAAATAGGCTGGGGTTTGTTCAACTCCATAATGACTGAGGTCATCTTTACAATCTGTGGGCCAAAATGCCTACAGCACTTAGATCAGCAGGAGTCCTATTGATTTGCAATGAGTTTACCCTCTAGAGGCTCACCACATTTTGTTGGAATGTACTCTGGAATTAAATAATTAAAAGGTGTCTCTCTCTATCTTTAGTTCTCCTACCCCAGTCATCATAGTCTGTATCTCACTCCTTTTTGCTTTCCAGATCTATAAGCACAGATCTCATTTTTATGCTGAATGGCTGAAGAAGAGACTTCTCTTCATGACTTCAGAAACCACATCAAGCAAATCTGGGTGGAACTACAACCCTAATGGTTCCATGCCTGACTACCATTCTGCATCTGCAGTAGAACATCCAGCTCACAGCTGTATTATTGCTAAGGTGCATAAATAAAGGCATCAAATTTCTCTTCCAGAGAGGGGAAAAACAGTAAATGTTAGAGGTTAGTTGCATTAAGAACAATGTACATCCCTTGCGCTCTCGTCCTAATCTCAGGAGAACAAAATAGTTCCAGCTAAACAGTTAGGAGGTAGCCATTTTAAAGCATGTTCATTCCTACATATACTTCTCTTGATTTTGCTACACTTGATGACTGAAGGTTGAAGATGTGAGCTGATCCCTTTAATGGTGATGTCAGAGGACAGAAAAGTTCTGCCTGTGGTGCTGTATGTGCCACAGTTTACTCACACATGTAAGTCACCATACCTCAGAAATTCAGATGCACACAAAGCACAATGGCAAAAATGGACCAGCGGTGAAATGCCTATCATGATGAGGAATGGGACACATGTGGCGCATGGGCCTGTACAATGCAGAGACTTCTCCTGGGGGGTACAGAGCATCTCTGTTAGGAGTCCAGTTCACATGACTGCAGCATTATCCCGATGTGCAGTGATTTATTGCTATTATTTCCTCCATCAGTGTTGATGGCACCCAACCATTTTAGAGGGAGAAAGTAAAGCGTACACTTGGGGACTTCACCTGGGAGCAGCTAAATCTGCTCCTGTGACTTAAAAGGCAAGTTTGGGTCCCTCCCAATAGTGTCCTAGGCTGGAGTTTACAATGTCTCACAGAACTCAGTGAAAAGCATTGAGAAAAGAGTCAGGCCTCCCTCCTCTGAACCAGTGGCGCAGTGTGGAGAGGGCCACAAGGGCGGTTGCCCTGGGTGCAAAATTGTTAGGGGCACAAAATTCCAACACCCAGTGCTGCCTCAATACAGCTGTGTGCTTCTGTCGCTGGGCTCTGTTGGAAATGGCTTCTCCATGCTAACCAGGAAGTGACCTCTCCAGACAACAGAACGACTCTTCTTTTCTCACCTAGGTGGCTGCAATCTCCTGGGCGACACAGACGCCATTAGGCAATTCAATGTGCAGGTGTATTCCATCTGTTTCCCTCCCTCATCCCCCACACTCCACATGGCCCCAGGCGCTGGGTACCCACTGTTCTGAACACCAGTTGCAGAGATTCCCAGATGGGCAGAGTTGCACGCATGTCCATAGGTACCAGGACGGCCACTGTGAGATCAGGACACTGGACTAGATGGTCCATTGGTCTGATTCAGCAGACTCTTCTTGTGTTCTGATTTGCATAACTCTGCCCTGGGTTCTATTTCCATGTTAAATGGAGAGTCACAAACATAAAAACAATACAGCCTGAATTCAGGCAACTGCTCATTTTAGTATATTTTCCCGGCAATTAGACTTAATTCATTTACTCACGTTGTATGGAGAAGTAATGTAGTGCTTCAATTTAAAACTAATGCTGCAATAATGCTGTTCATATTAGAATACTCCCCACTGAAACTCAGTCACGCAGGCTGCGTTTCCAGTGGGCTTGAATATTGCAGCATTCAAATCAGGAAGCAGTTTGATAGAAGGAGAAGCACCGTCCATGCAGAAGACTGTCACTTGCAGAATAACTTATATTCAGAAAGTTCCTTTTAAACAAATACATAAAGCTCTAAGGCGTTCTAAAGTGCAGCTTTGAATCATAGGAGAGTAAAAAGGGAGCACTGACTAACAACAGTGGGTTCCAGGGAAGGGAGACTTTAATATGACAGGAAAATCTCAATAGGGCCATGGGGTCCTGCATAAATGAGAGAGACTCCTGGACTGGGAAAGCTGTTCCCTTTTATGAAGAAAGGTTGTAGCTCTGTGGTGGAACACCTTCTTTGTTTGAAAAAAGTCCCTGGTTAAAACTCTGACTAGCATCTCCAGTAGGGACCTGACTTGGTATAAAACAACTTCATAAATGCCTAAATTGTAGGGCTATGGGTCTCACATTTCTTTATGAGATCTCTGTGTGCCCACCCAAAATCACGTTAGCAATCACAAGAAAGGCTTTCGGCTTAGAAATCTCATAGGCCTTGGCCCAAGACCAAAAAGAATCATCACAACAGAAAGGAGAGGATTAGTGCACACTGTGTCAGGCCAGATGGTCTTCCTCCTAGGCTGGTAGCCTGAATTGTGGTCATAAAGGGAACCAGGATGGAAATTTGTCTTGTCATACTCATATTGACTATACAGTGGCCCTGACTCAGACAGTTCTGCTGGTCTCTAGAGTCTTCTTCAGCCTTGGGTACCCAGATGCTGTTAGACTTCAAGTCCCACCACCCCTGACCATTGGCTATGCCAGCTAGGGCTGATGGGACTTGTAGTCCAACAACATCTGGGGACTCAAGATGAAGAACGCTGCAAGATGAAGAAGATATGACCAAGAGACGGGAAATTCACCATGGATATGTCAATTCCCTTGTTTAATACATTAAACCAGCTTTGAGTTTTCCTTCTACATATTATGGCAAATGACATAACTACTTCTTCTTTCTTTTTTTTAAAAAAAAGCCAAGCAAAAGCTGCTTGAATGTGTTTGTGTATACCATATAAAAAAATTGCAAATGAAGCAGACTGCGATAGTCTATTCACACCAAGTAGCTGCTCAGCCAGATTCCCAACAAGTGTAAATCAACATGAGCGTGAAGTCAATGGAGTGACACTGATTTAGAACAGCAAAAGTTATGGGCCGTTGACTTCAATGGGACAACCCCGGTATGAAATGCTATGCAGCATAAGTGAGGACATAAAACAGCAGCTCACTGTATTTCACCTATTACGTTTTTATTACAACTGCATAGGCTAAGTAAATGTATTAAATTTATGTGTGTTTAATCTGTGTAACAGGGAATGAAAGGACAGCTTTTATTTTGATCCTTTTCTGATCACACACCTGAAATCACAGGGTCTTGTTTATCATAAATCTTAAGATTTGCAAAAGAGCATTGTTATGCCTCCAGAATGCTTTGCAATGGCTAGGGGAGGCCTGTACTTTCATTTTGTTTACAGTCATACCTTGGTTTTCTAACAGCCTAGTTCTCGAACGTTTTGGCTCCTGAACGCTGCAAACCCGGAAGTGAGTGTTCCAGTTTGCAAACTATTTTTGGAAGCTGAACGTCTGACGGGGCTTCTGCGGCTTCTGATTGGCTGCAGGAGCTTCCTGCAGCCAATCAGAAGCCACATTTTGGTTTTTGAATGTTTTGGAAGTTGAACGGACTTCCGGAACAGATTCCGTTTGACTTCCAAGGTACGACTGTATTATATTTGTGTGCCATGTTTCCTCTGAGGAGGTCAAGGTTCCTTTTATTCTCACAACACCCCTGAGAGGTAAGTTAGGCTTGAGAGTCAGTGTCAAGATCACCCAGTGAGTTTCATAACTGAGTGGAGAGCTGAATCTTGGTCTCCCAGGTTGTTGTTGTTGTTGTTGTTGTTATACACACCATCTGTTGGCCACCACCAAGTAGCACCATACTGGTTCTCAGAAATAACACAGAGGATTGACAAGTGGTTAATCCCATCTGGGCTATGACTGGGCCTGAGCCTACTTAGCTTCAACAAGGTAGAGATGACACGAACCATCAAACCATACCTGAGTTTGAAGTTACAACATGTGACTGCCACGCCCCCCGAAAAGCCAAGTACAGTTCACAATCCTCCTAGGCATTTGGAGTCTCATTTCCCCAAATGGGTACAAAATTACCTAAAACTATTCCTCTAACTAGTGTCAATTCATACCCCGAGTGCTCTCCTACAATAAGGGTTTTGTTGTGGGGTTTCAAGTCCCTTCCTGTTGTCTCTGTGTGTGGTTTTTCTTTTGTTTTAATTTGAGGGCTCTATTAAAAAGACATTAGTGTCATTTAGACTCCAATTAAAGTGAATGGGGGGAAACAACCCCAACGGAAGGAAAACTTTCATTTAACAATGCAATAATTACTTTATCTTAATACAGCAGTTAAGATAAGGTGCAGCTTACTGTTCAATATGATTTTCTTACTCATACTAACAAGAATAAAGAATAAGGAGGAAATGCATGAGCAAAGTATCAGGAGTGTGTTATATTTGGGGTCATTGAAGATCTTTAGAAATTAACATTTAATTCTTATAGATAAGATGTATAGACCTACCCCTGCACTTAAAACAATTTCTTATATTTACATTAAATTTGCACAAATTATTATAAAACTACTTGTAGTTTTTGTAGTTTTTACTGCAGTGTTTGATAGGATTGGCCATGTGGGTTAAACTAAGAAACAGAAATATTGATAAAATGTTATTTTCTCTTATAAGAATGTCATATACAGACTCAAGAGTCAAGCATGACTGGAAAGTCAAGTCTGTAGGGTAATCCTACCAGGGGAGTTTGAAAAGTTTGTCTGCTGGTTCCCTACCTATTCAAACTTGAAATAATAAGTTGAGGATTAATGCTTCCTTTCCAGCCTCAGACTTGTTTAGAAAAATGTCTCTGTCAATGTACATGTTGCTGATATGGTTGCATTTTTCATGGTTGAAACATCTTTCGAAAGCTTTTGGCACTATGGCTTGATGTCACCTATGTCAAAGCAAAGATAAGGACGGCTAAAACATGTCCTTTGTGCTACGAAAGAACAGGTGATGGACAAAACTTGGGACACATTCAGATCTTCAATTACCAAGAAGTCTGGTTCTCTGGAAAAAGCACATAGAAACATCATTTAGTTGCTACCGTGCAGAAAATACTGAGATCCTCCCAGACAGTTTTGGAAGAAGGAACAAAAGAGGAAATATCAACAGCTCAGCAATTTTGATTTTTGCAGGTAAAAGTTTTCGAACAATTACCATACGCAGCAGAAGTCTGAGCCTCATTGTGATTTAAAAAACTAGAACCTACAGAGCATGTTCTTGAAATCTTTGCTAAGTCTGCTACTTGGTACCCCAGCAGCTCACATAAGGACAGGTTAGCTTAATGCCTTTTGATTTATGTATTTTGTTAGCCGTCTTTATGCATTATTCCAAGTTGCTCCAAATAGAGGATAATGGGCTTCCAGAAATGTTTTATGGAGCAGGCAAAGTCTGGTAGTCAGCACAGTTGGCTGAAACAGTATGAAAACAAAATGTTGAAGCATGGTATACGCTTTTGGGACTTGGAAGCTGATCAGACTCCAAGATTTCTCAGAAATAAGTGAGGATGTGTTCAGATGAGATATGGATTTGATACAGGAGTCACCATTTTCACCATATATGATTCAGGTTGTCACAGGCTGTGGAACCTTGTTCTCATGATTTAAGTAACTTGAGTCCAACACCCTGCCACTATTTGCATGGGTGTGTCGGGGGGAGATGTTGACTCCAGCCCACCCAGCCCCTTCCACTCTTTCAGAATGGCATGTGGGGTGGGAGACGAGAGTCACCTCTGTGAGCAGGTGGATCTTCTGCTCATACAAGTAGAAGTTTAGAGCCAAACCAGGATTTGGAAGGGTGATTCCACAGGAACACAAGCTATGCACCTGTGCTTTATACCGTATATACTCGAGTATAAGCTGACTTTTTCAGCACATTTTTTATGCTGAAAAACCCCCCCTCGGCTTATACTCGAGTGAGAGTCCTTTCACGCTGCTCCTTCCTCTTCCTCCGCCTTTGCTGCTGTCGGCAGAGGAGGAACGAGCAGCCCAAAAGCAGCCCTTTCGGGCTGCTTGTTCTTCCTCCGCCGTTGCTGCCACCAGCCTCTGCCTCTCAGCAGCAACCTAGGTAGGCAGGGGGATGGGAGGGGCTGGGGGGGAGAGAGAAGCCCCCTCTGCCGTGTGCGCATGTGTGCACACACACACTCCAGCCCTTAAGGAGGTTTGTGGTGTGGTGAACGGGCTTATATTCGAGTCAATAAGTTTTCCCAGTTTTTTGTGCTAAAATTAGGTGCCTCGGTTTATATTCGGGTCAGCTTATACTTGAGTATATACGGTAGGTAGTAAAGGATCGGTCCCATCATTTATTGTTTCCCTCCACGTACATCAAAGGAATACATACTTATGGCTGACTAATTATCCCAAAGTGTCAATTCAAATCATTTATCTAAAATGTTTCTGACCCCGCCCCAATCTCTCTCTCTGGCAATCAATTTTTGTTGCTTAGTGAGTAGCCGGATTTGAGATGGTTGCATGGAATTTCATCCAACCATGTTAAATGAGTCAGACATTTTAATGCTGTCTGATGGGGTTTTCGTGTTATTTTGGTTGATTTTATTAAGTGTATCTTTTCATTATGTAACCACTTTGTTTATTATGTAACCAGGCAGAGGGCTTTTTCAGTAGTTGCGCCCGCCCTGTGGAACGCCCTCCCAGCAGATGTCAAACAGATAAACAGCTATGTGATTTTTAAAAGACATCTGAAGGCAGCTCTGTTCAGGGAAGCTTTTTTTGGTTGATGTTGTACAGTGGTACCTCGGGTTACAGGCGCTTCGGGTTACGCGTTTTCAGGTTACGGACCACAGGAAACCCAGAAGTACCAGACAGAAGCACTAAATCGTGCTTTGCACATGTGCAGAAGCACCAAATCGCATCACGAGCAGACATGCTCTGCACTGCAGGTTACGAATGCTCTGTCATGGACTATGTCCGCAACCCGAGCTTCCACTGTATTACGTTTTTACTATTTTTGGTTGGGAGCCACCCAAAGTGGGCAAGGAATAAATTAATTTAGTTATTGTTGTTGTTATTATTATTATTATTTAACTGGCCAGTGAAGAACACACAATTGTGTGTGTATGTGTGTGTGTGATGTTTTAATGGCAAAAGCTTATGTCTCCAAGATTCCCTACAGCACTCTTTATGGTTGTTATTAATGTGGTGTTGCGATAGCCATCCTGGTTGTGCTGTACAATAAACCGATGCCTAGCTAAAATCATTTTTTAAACTGGGCCAATCTGAGTATTCAGCTGTAGCTGGCACCCAGCACTTGAAAATAAGCAAGCTTTTATAAATTAAGGTTAGAATGCACTCCACCCTACCCAAAATCTCTGACAGGGGACTTAACACAGAGGCATCAGGAACTGTGCTGGACATCCTGTAAGATTCTTGTTGGCTTTCAGTTTGCTTGATTTTATCAAGAAACAAAAGTTAATGAAGTGATAGTGGGAAGGCAAGCAGCTGCAGCATTGGGGCTTGAGGTTTAAATATAAATTACATAAGGTTTCCCCAGCAGCACTACTGCAAGGATTCTGGAAGCTCCTGGGCCTATATTTTGTGTGACACACAAGCCAGTAATTCTCTCACACCATTCCCAACCTCCTCAGATAGGGGCGCCATCTCACCCTTAGGATTGTGGGTGCCCACTGATGCAACGCGGACGTGCAACGTCACACGCACTAC